CTGCTGCTGCTGAGTTCAAACGAGGCGACGGAACCTCAGTGTGCAAGTGCAGCAGCAACAAGAGCAGCAGAGGCTGCAGCAGCCAGCAACGCAGCAGCGACCTCTACAGCAGCAGCAGCAGCAGCAACAACAGCAGCAGCAGCGACGGCGGTAGCAGCAGCGATGGCAGCAGCAGCAGCAACGACAACAACAACAACAACAACAACAACAGCAGCAGCAGCAGCAGAAGCGTTAGGAGCAGAGGCTGCGGAAATCGCAAGCTACCTACTGCAGAACTTCTGCATGCATGCTGGGGCTGCTGCGTACACCACAGGCCTCCCGCAGCAGCAGCAGCAGCAGCAGCAGCAGCAACAGCAACAGCAGCAGCAACAACAGCAGCAACTACACCGTCATCAGATGTCTCTGTCGGGAACTCAATCGCTTCTGCTGCTGCCCCAGGGGACGCCCCGCAAACCAGCAGCAGCAACAACTCTTGCTGCTCCTTTAGCAGCAGCAGCAGCAACAGCAGCAGCAGCAACAGCAACAGCAGCAGCAACGGTAGCAGCAGAGAAATGCAGGAGAGGCGCTGCTGCTTGGAGCTAGCAGACGGGGAACATGTGCAGCAGCAACAACAACAACAGCAGCAGCAGCAGCATTTGGAGCAGCAGCTCAGGCATTTGGAGCAGCAGCAACAGCAGCAGTTGCAGAAGCATCAGCAGCAGCAGCAGCAGCTTGAGATACAGAAGCAGCGCCAGGAGCAGCTGCAGCAGCACGCTTCTGGAGCAGCTGCATTTTTACACTGCGGCACGCAGCAGCAACTGCTGCAGCAGCAGCAGCAGTTTCTGCTGCTGCTGCAGCATCAACAACAGCAGCTGCTGCAGCAACAAAAACTGAAGCACCAGCCTCAATTTATTGATCTTCACAGCACCAAGTGGGCGGCTGCTGCTGCTGCAGCAGATACTGCAGCAGCAGCAGCAGCAGCGGCAGATACTGCAGCAGCAGCAGCAGCAGCAGCAGATTCTGCAGCAGCAGCAGCAGCAGATACTGCTGCAGCTGCTGCAGCAGATGCAGCATCATCAGCTGCGGAGCAGCAGCAACAGGGAAACCACTTGTTGCAGGTGTGGCTGCAGCAGCAGCACCTCTCACCAGCAGCAGCAGCAGCAGCTGCTGCTGCAGCAGGGTGTAGATTAACAACGGCTCCGCTGCCGCAGCAAGTGGCGCTGCTGCTGCAGCAGCAGCACGCAGCACTTGTCTGCCTGCAGCAGCAGCTGCTGCTGCTGCAGGAAACTCTTGCTGCTAACCAAAGCGCAGCAATTGCAGGAGGCGTCTCCCCGTCGTCGTCGTCGTCGTCGTCTGCTGCTGCTGCTCCTGCAGTGGCAGCCCCCTGGCAGCAGCAGTTGCTGCAGCAGCAATTGCTGCAGCAGCAGCTGCTGCAGCAGCAACTGCAGCAGCAGCTTATTCCTCCCCCAATGCTGTTCACTGTAAATCTTTCTAATCTGCTGCTGCAGCAACAGCTAGTCGCGCTGCAGCAGCCACCAATGCAGCAGATGCAACAGCAGCTCCTGCAGCAGCAATTGCTGCAGCAGCAGCTCCTGCTACAGCAGCAACAGCAGCAACAGCAGCACCAACAGCAGCAGCTGCTGATGCAGCAGCAGCAGCAACAGCAGCAGCAGCAGCAGCAGCAGCAGCAGCAGCACAATTCTGGGAGCTAATACATTTAAAGACCTTATAAATGAATTGATTTTATGCAATTATCTTTTTAATGTTTGTTTATTTATTATTTTTCTTTGCTTTTATTTGTCTGTCTTTAATTATTTTTATCTTCGTCTGTTTTATTTTTATATATTTGTCTCCTTCCACCCACTCTCTCGCTTTGTTTATCTCTCTATTTATTTATTTATTTATTTATTTATTTATTTATTTATTTATTTAATTTATTTATTGTTTTATGTAGTTTGAGTTTGGGTTTGGAGCAGCAGCGCAGCAGCAAATGCAATGTGATTTGCTGCTGCTGCTGCTGCTGCTGCTGCTGCTGCTGCAGCAAAATGGAATTAGGTTTGTTGCTGCTGGTGCTGCAGCTGCTGCCCTTGCAGCTGCTGCAGTTGCAGCAGCAGCTGCTGCTGAAGCTGCTGCATCAGCTGCTACAGCAGCTGCAGCTACAGGTGTTTCAAATGAAATTAGATTTGCTGCTGCTGCTGTGGCTGCTGCTGCTGCTGCTACAGCGGGTGCAGCAAGACGGAATTAGATTTGCTGTTGCTGGTGCTGCTGAAGCAGCAGCAACAGCTGATGCAGACTCCGTACAAGCTGCAGCAGCAGCAGCAGCAACGGTAGCAGGCCCAGCAACTGAAATCTGATTTGCTGCTGCTACTCCTGCTGCTGCTGCTCCTACTATTGCCTCTGCTGCTGCTGCTCCAACTGCCGTTGCTGCTGCTCCAAATGCTGCTGCTGCTGCTGCTGCTACTGCTGCTGCTGCTGCTGTTCAGTTTTGAATCTGTCTCTGGAGGGGCCGACGAAGAAGCGCAGCAGCCCCCAGATATCAGCAACAGCAGCAGCAGTAGCTTGCTGTTTGCTGCTGGTCTCTGCAGCAGCAGAAGCATACGCTTCGTGTCTCTTGACGTCTGTCTCCTTGCAGCAAGCAATAATATGTGCTGCTCCAATAAGCAGCACTACTTCCAATTCCGTTGCTGCTGCTGCTGCTGCTTCACTTATAGGTGTCCCTGCAGCAGCAGCAGCAGCAGCAGCAGCAGCAGCAGCAGCAAGCTTCCGCTCTTTCTGGCAGTACTGCAGCACTTTTGCTGCACTTGGCCACAGATGCTTCGGCTGCATTGAAGCTGGAAGCATTAGTCTAGGATTCTTTGCTGCTGCTGCTGCTGCAGCTGCTGCAGCTGCTGCATTTGCAGATGTTGTTGCTGTTCCTGTTGCTGCTGCTGCTTCTGCTGCTGCTGCTGCTTCTGCTGCATCAGCCGCCGCTGCTGCGGCTGCGGCGTTTTCT